ATCTTCTTGCAAATAGTGAAACATAGGGACCTGCAAGGTGAGGAAAAGAATGTGAACCTCTCTTTGTAGCCTCAAGCTGTTTTCCGAGTGAAGGTATTGCCCCAAGGTAGTTACATGTATCAACACCGGCTTGAAGCAGCAGGGTAGATATGCAATAATGTGGGAAATTATAACCTGCAGCAGTGAGAGATTAGCAAAAATAGCTAGCTGTGGGGGTGCTGTGATCAGGTTTTTTCGGCTGATACTGATCAGTTTTCATGTCAGCAGAATCAGACACTGTAATGCTTATCTTTACAGGAAGTCCATAACCGTTTTCTCATCTTCTTTTCTTTTTTCGCTCTAAAATATTACACTATGTTCATTTTGAAGGCAGTTGTCCTTCTGTGCCTGCCTAAGACAGAAATCCCAGTCCCAGAAAGCACACTTTTAGTGTTTACAGAACTGGATGAAATCCTGGGCGTCCCCCAGAAGGACATGTTGAGTAAAAAGGAGATACTGCTTTCAGTCTGATACCAGCAGCCTGAGCATACTGCTTAGCTGACTGCATCTTGAGTATATGGAGGTCTGGACCTGAATGTAAATTATCTTAATAGCCTGCTGCATGTGGTGGAGATCCTTCAGCTGTAATGGACCAGGCAGTAAAAACAGTCACTATTTGTGTGACATTTATGTAGTTGCCTCACCTTTTTTACAATTGGCGTTGCTGATCAGCAGATGTAAAGTCAAGGTAATGAATATCAGCTGATACCAACCAGTGTTTCATAAGCAAGTGCTTGTAATGCGATAGTCATTAAAAGAAAACACTGCTGGTCGTAAGAATTTTTATAAGATTTCTTATTTACTGTACATTGTGTCAAGCCGTTGAGCGTATATCAATGTATTTTACAGGCAATGAGTGGATATCCTCTCATCTCCGGTCTAAAGCAGAATCAATACCACCTTAAGCAGGACTGGCTTTTCCACACGCATGCACACAGACGCATGCACAAACAGGAATACATGTGCATACATTGCGGAGCTCTGTAAACATCGTCTCGTACATTTGTAACAGATACGTCTGCAGCAGGCATTATCTTATTCTCTCTTACACACAGAGGACAAATCAAAAACATATATTGTCTCTTTGTGTCAATCTCTTTCTCATTTTCTTTCCTCTCTAGCCCATCAATGGACAGACGCACTACCAGACAGACGCTTTTGCACACAGACACACACGCACACACTTTAAACCCTCTCTCTCACAGACACTCAGTCTCACAAACACAGAAAATCGAAATCACAAATCGGCTTAACTCTCCCTGACACATCTGTGAATTAAGCCTTTCCGTTGCTCTCCCTTTCCCATTATAAAGGCATTGTCAGAGGCTGAATCGGTAACAGGTAGCCCACAGCCCCTGCTGCTTCCTTCTCGCTTCTCCTCTCTCTTTTTTTTTTTTCTTCCGCCTTACTCATCTGTCTTCTTTTTCATTCTCGGTCTTTGACTTCTCTCTCTCTCTTTCCAAAATTCCACTTTTTCTCTCCAAGTCTCTGGCTTCACTTCCCTCATCTATCTTTCTTCACTCCCGTCTTCCCCGTGACCTCCATCTTTGCTTAATCATCTCTCTCCTGTCCTCACAGTGTCTTTCTGTCTCTCTTTCCTCATTTCCCCTTTCCCTTTATTTATTCATCTGTCACAGCCAGTGGCAGAATAGTACTGGGTATTTTCATTTGGTGCTACTTTAGAAGTCTGTGTGCTTTTGACTGCATTAATATTGCTGCTATAATTTGTCAGTTCAGCTTATATACAAAATATAGGGTCAATTTTTAGGACACTAAGTATGATTATACAGTAAAGTACTCAGCAGCATGTAAAGTGGTTACATTTGTCAAAAAAAACTGCCTGCATACATGTTGATACATCAGTAAGAATCTGATAATATATAAGTGTTACACTACGAGATACTTGTACTTTTGTAAATATCGTTTGTTGATTAGCAGTTTTGAGTGTGGTCAAAAATATATAGAGCTGATATTCTCGTCTTTTTTTTAAATTTAAACATACCTTCATCAACAAACTTCACAATCAAGTTCACAATAAAAAACAAAATCTATCAGAAACCATTTTTTCCACTGAGATTAGTATTAAGTTTGAGCTTTAAGGTGTATTCTTTTTCTTCTTCTAATGGCAGTGCTATGTTTCCACAAGCTTCCAAAGTGTCTGTTGGGTCTGACTGATGTTTCGTCAACAGAGCGAGTATGCCAAGCTCAGTGTAGATGTCTACATGTCCTCAAATTTGGTGTCAACACATTACTTGTCCAAAAAGAAATACTTTATTACTAGGGCACCGACTATGTATGTGTCCTTGAAGTGCACTCCCAGCAGCTTAGAATGTGGGTGTAATAGGTACAACTACTTGCCCGTGGTGTGCAAAGACTCCCGTCTGCATATCCACGAGGGAATTTAATCTTAGTTTAAGTTCGGGCGGGATATATCAACCTTACTGTCATGTAAAAAGAAAATCACATCCCTACTGCTTCCAGTAAGTGGGAAAGTAGCAGCCGGAGGTTGGTGATCGAATGCACTTGATTAATTGATCATCAGCGAGTCTAAACACCTCTATAAAAGCAGTTTGTTGTTTGCTGATTGGGAACATTTAGGCGTGTGTTAACATAATGTTGCAATATCCCCAGAAGTGGACATCTCAGCGAATTCGACGCGCAATGCTCAGAGAAACTGCAGAATGCCAAGAGCTACTTCTCAGAGCTACAAGCCTCCATTAGCATGTTAAATCTTAAAGTTTATGAGAGTACAATTAGGAAAAACACTAAACAAGTTTGGCCTATTTGGAAGGGTTTCCAGGAGAAAGCCTTTTCTCTCTAAAACAAACATGGCAGCACAGCTTAGGTTTGCAAAGTTGCATTTGAAAAAAACCCCACAACTTCTGGATCAGTGTTCTTTGGACAGATTACACCAATGTGGAGACATTTGGGCCTTAATCTGCAGCATCATGTTGAGCAAAAACCAAACAGCCTGCCAGCACAAACACCTCATTCCAAAAGACAAGCACAGTGGTAGAGGGTTGATGATTCGGGCTTGTTTATCAGCCAGAGGACCTGCGCCACCTTATTGTCACTGAGTCGACCACGTGACTCTAGAATACTGTGGACAAATGTGAGGCCACCTGTTGGACAGCTTTGCTCTAACTGGGTCATGAAATAGGACAATGACCCCAAACAAAGCAGAAAAACTGCAACAGAATGTCTGAAAAATAAAAAAAATCAAGGTGTCACAATGGCCCAGACCTCTACTTGATCAAAATGCTGTGGCAAGCCCTTAAGTGAACTGTGTATAAACAAAAGCCTGGAAACCTCAATGAACTGAAGCAATGATGCAAAGAAGAGCGGCTAAAATTCCTCCCCAACAATGTGAGTGACTGATAAAGTCAGACAGAAAACAATTACTTTGACTTATTGCTCCTAAAGGCGGTTAAACAAGCTATTAAATCCTGGGGTGTACTTAGTTGAAAGCAACTAAGTACACCCCAGGACTCACCATGCAGTGAGTCCTGTGAAAACCTTCTTTTTCACAAGATTGCATTTGATTACCTTCTTCACTCCTCCTCGCCTTTATTTGTTATCAAACATTACATTTATTTAGTGACTGGTAATTACTGTCATTGTTGAGTCACCTGCCTTAATATTTGTATCCAAAAAAAACATTTTCAAGGTTCCAGAACTTGATACATTCATGTGTTTCGTGGTTCTTTCCTATAAGGCGTTCTCCTTTATGTCTCTAATTGACCTCACGGCTATTCATTTAGCCTTACAGTTTTCAACAACACTAGTCCAGGACATGAAGAGGTGACAACTAATCCTACTTTTTGTGTCCACTCGTTATCCAGTTTCTTTCTTGTTTGTGTACCTCCACAAAGTTTCATGTGAAGCTTCTATATTGAGCTAGAGGTAGCAGAGATGGAAGAGGAGAGGGAGGAAGGAAGGAAGAGCGGTTTAGCTGCCTGTGTTGGGAATGCAGGGAGTAGACAAGCAGAGCAATTCTGACAGGCTGTGTCTGCACAGTTTGTTCTCCAAAAGGCCCACACAGAGTCGCCAGTGGGGTACACACATGCACACACACTCCCAAGCATACACTACTTAAATTGCACCCTCACACACACACTTTGAAGTTAGACAGTACTGTCCTCCTTCACACTCGTTACACACAGTGTGTTGCAGGCTTACCCACAAACACACATAGGCACCGTTACAGTGTTACGAGCGCACAACAAGAGAAGAGAGCCGAGCAGAAGAAAAAGGGCTGGTTTTGAATGCATTCCTTCGAAGGCTTCAGTGCTGAGGAAATGGAGCTATCATGACAAGGGATGAAAGAGCAACAATGGTTTCATCGCTTTCCCTCATGTTTCACTGCACCGTGAAAAAGAAGCTTCTAGTGTTCTCATCCGCCCGTTAGGGAAAAACATGCTGTGCATTATACTGGGAGGACAGGCTCAAGAGCGAGCAAGTGAGAGCGAGGGACGGAGAGAAAGCATTTTCACTCGGCAACCCAAAAAAAAAATCATACTGCTGATACATCGGCAGCAGATAGTGATGCTTTGATAGACTAAAGACAGTGGTGTGTATTGGTCCCTGTGTTCTGTTGCTGATTATTGACACCGTCCATCTTTTTGTGCCCAAAAACCCTCCTGTCGTCCTCTGTTTCTATTCATTTCATGCTTTTGATGATTCAATCGCTAACCCAAGTTTTCTTCTTTCTGTCCTCATGCTGACTTCATCTCACTTTGTTTCGCCTAGTCTAAAGGACTATATAATTTATATTTAGACAGTATGAGGACTAGCAACTACTTGTGGAAGTTCGCTTAAGGCTTATGTAAGCCCGCATAGTTAATCAGAGAGAGAAATTCACTAAACCAAAATGCTCCATCATTTCTTCTGTTCTTTAATTCTTCTCACCTTGTCCTTTTTTTGTTTTTATTTGTTTGTTTGTTTTTACCTGCTTCCCTCAGGGTGCAGTGATCACGCCAGCCATGGACCACACTATGTCCATGCAGCCTGCCAATATGATGGGCCCTCTCACTCAGCAGATGAACCATCTGTCCCTGGGCACTACAGGAAGTGTGAGTAGGATTCGCTGTGTCACAGCGAACCACACACAGATAACCCCACACAAGCACACATAGTTGCCGTGATCATCGTGACAGAATCTGGCTACAAGGACATTTTGAAGTGCTCCAACATGTTAGCTGTACTAGCAACAACCTGTTGCTTTGAGTGTTTCAGTTAGTTTTGCATTAAATTTTTGAAAAAGTTCCTGGATGATGAAGTTCAGTTGAATTTAGTTTAACTTTGCACTAGGTACAGCTATGCAGCAGCTATTCTTCAATAACAAAACCCTTGTGACTACACTATGGCGACTTACACAGAGATATATGTAAAACATAAAAAACAGTGCACACAAGTCCTTAAAGTACAACCAGCAACCATCTAAATTCTAATGGCCTGATTTACAATTTGTACTCTGTATTACATAAGCTGTGCTACCAGGCACCATAACAACAATACATAATAACATTTCAACATTCATTTTAATAATTTCGAGCTGTGATCTGTAGCTCTGGCAAAAGGATTTCCAAGTCTCTGAGTCTGGTTTGATTTTCAGATCTTTTCAGACAGAATAAACAAGAGATCATGGTTTGGGTTAAAACTTGTTTTCATCTTTTTACAGTGTTAGAAAGCTCCATTCATAGCTTGCCAGAGTGTCGTCCTCAGTGCATATTTTACATGTTTACTGGAAGTCACTTAACTCTAAGAAATGCCTACACTCGACAGTAACAGCAAGCACAAGCAAATTTTCCTCTGCTTATCCGAAGTCCGGTCACGGTGGGTAAGCAGTGTAATCCAGGTGTCTTTCTTTCCCCAGCAATACATTCCGGTTTCTAGTGGAGTATCCCGGGGTGTCTGCAGGGTAGATGACATGTAGTCTGCTCCAAAATGAAATCAAATCGATTCATAGAAGGGTGCACTTTAAATATACGTGGTCGGTTGTTTTCTGTTATTTGTTTCCTCTATTCCAGTATACAGTTGGAAAATATCTAAAAAAAAATCTGCGTCTAGTCTTGAGAGATGAATAAGAAATGTTCAAGTTGTTGTGAGGGGTGCTATAGGTCGGTATGACCGAGTTGGAGGCTTTTCATCTCAGAGAACATTGTTCGTTTAGTTTAGAAACACTGAGTAAGAGATGGGTTTTACATTTCCTTTCAAAGAAGCCAAACCTTCTTAGGCTGTCGCCACATGTGCTCAGCCACGGAGCTGCCATATCATTTGTTTTACACAGCATGCGTTCACAGCCACATATTGAGAGAGCGTATTTCCTTCCTGATCTTCCACATTAAACAGACTTCCTGTGAAGCTCAACAGTGTGACAGGCCTCTCGCTTCTCCACCTTTTTCACTTTCACCCCCTAATTTCTGTTTCTTTCTCACACTTTTCTGTCTCTCCTCGCTCTCTAAATCGCACAGAAAATCTATCGCTCCATCAGTTTTCCACACACTCACTTACAGTTGCTGGCCCCTAAACCATGAACTCCCCACCTGTTTCAGGATCAAGTCGACTTAGAGGTGTCACACGGTTCTGAAGCCTGACTTCCTGCCCTAACCCTGCTGCCCGCAGGCAGGCGGGCAGGCAGACAGCTTTGCTCCAGAACTACGTTTGATCTCTGTGTGTGTGTTTGGGTGTGTATGATTGAAACAGTGCTGCATTGTACAGTTATCCATGTGTTTCCAGGTGAGCTGTCAGCGACTGTGACGCCATGTTGGCTCTGTCAGGAATGCCCCCTCCCTAATCTGCCCCAGCTGTGCTAACAGCCAGGATTAGAGACAGGCTAATCTATGATGATGGCTTCTGATGTTTGATGGGTTGTATTATAGGAGAAAGTGGGTTAAAGCTCTCTGTCTGCTTTTTTCATTTCGGGTTTACCCTTTCTACCTCTCCCCTTTATGCGTACTTAGCTTTCCTGAGGCAATGTGCTGTGTAGCCTAACCTCTCTACGGCTGAACTAACATGCACGCCATGCCACACTTGATCATCTTGGGGAATTGAGACGCGTTTCCTACGCCAGATGTAAAATCCCTTTCATGATTGGGAAAGCCTGTTAAAAAGAAGGGGTTAGGAACAAGGATCTGTAACTATTCATGTATTTAACTGGACTTGACACCACATACTCTTTGAGCACATTCCTCAAGTGTACACACAGAAGCGGTGAGGTTATTTTGAATGCCCCTACTGGTCACGTGACTTAGCCTTCACCGCAGAAGAGCACCTGCAGTAAGCACCGTCTCCAGAGTCAACAACTTATCATGCTTCTGGCTGCTGAAGTAGAGCCACACCTCAGAATACTCTTGGCTGTTCCAGGCCTCGCTGCGGCTGTTTGTGTATGGCTGTGGCTTCCTTTTTCTCTCCAAGAAAAGAACCAAATGTTCTCAGTCCGCCCAAGCTGTCACACTGGTGTGGTGACCGTAGCTTTCCGAGAATGCCGTGTTATTTTGCAGCGCAGATCAGCTTGCAGGGTGAGGCTTTAAAAAGGAGCGGCAAGGAAAAACCTCGCCTCATAACGAATGAGGATGGATCGTTGCCTCCTAATGGTCACTGCTTTGGAATTTAGCTGCTTCATCAGAAAATGTTCTGTTTTGAACTCATCCAGTTCAGCTTGGTGTCTGTCTGACTTGAACGACTTGATTACAGAATGCTAAAGAACCTCAGGCGCACTGTTTATGGATGGCACACATAAACATGCCATCCATGCTTCACGCTGATTTATTTTACCTTGTTTGGTGCATATTGCTCTGTTGCTGATTTATTTACCGTCTTCGAGGTCTCACCACTTAACAGGAGTCTATCTGTCATGCCTCGTGTCCCTGTTAGTCGCTGTGCACGTGCATGTGCACATGTGCGTGCGCTCTGTTCGTCCTTTTGATATTTGTGTCTGTGTGTGATTGCATGGCTGTCAGCATCTACGTTTGTGCGAACGACATATTGTTTGACATGACAGGAGGTGACCTTCCCTCAGTGTTCTCCATCCTCTTTCTGTCATGGCATGAAGAACTCTGTTGTCATGGTGACAGCCGTGATTGACAGCATCTGTGTCACAGGAAGACAGATTTGTATGAAGTGTTTTCCTTTATTATCTGGACAGCTTCCCTCGTGTTTTTGCTTTTTTCTACATACATCTGTGCGTGTGCATGCTCGTAAGCTTTCCCTGCATGGGTAAAGTTGACGAGCATGCACTTTCTTCTTCCTCTTCGACTTCGGACTGTAACACATGTTGACACCCTGCTGATTCCCCCTACCACCGAGCTCTTTGGTCTTTGCGAGACTGGGATGATTATTTTTAATGCAACACTCTTGAACTATCTTTATTTTGTCTTAGTCCAGGTTTACATTCTTTTGAAATATTTGGAGCTGTGATGTTGGTCTGATCCTGAATCTAAAGGCTGGATCGGGAATCAGTGACCTCCCCTCATTTCTTTTATATTTTGCTACGAAAACAGGAAATAGGTGTTGCGATTTGATGAAACATGGAAATATATAAAGTAATACGTCATATGAGGCAAAACCAGGGCTTGTGCAATTTTAAGAAGTCAGTATTTGGTATGATCACCTTTATTCTTCAACACAGTCTGAACTCTCTTAGACAAGCCTTCTTTTAATTCCTTTAAATAGTCTTCAGGAATAGTTTTCCAGCCTTCTTGATCATTGTCATGATGAAAAATGAAGCCACTGCCAATCAGACTCTTTCCTAATGGCACTTTCCTGTGTTTATAATTCCATCAATTTTGACAAGATTCACCTGTTGCACTTCTCTCCTGACCTCCACCATATTGGTAGCGATTTGAACCAAATATTTCCTGTACTCACTGATTTTCAGTCCAGTTCAGTTCATAGCTTGGCCTTTTCTCCCTGTTTTCCAGACAAGTGAAAGGCCAGATGCATCTCTCTGTGTCCTGGCCTTCAGATACTGTTCATCTGCTATAGATAGTTTGTAGGCCTACCATTTATTTTGTCCTCCCTGTCTAGTTTCCTCACGTTTTTAAGGAAACACTACACAGAATGCCGAGATATGCCAAATGTTGCGTCAATAGCTCTTTGTGAATCACCTTTTTGGTGCAAAAATACAACTTTATGCTGTCAAACTATGTTAATTGGACATTTTTCAAAAATTCAACTAAATAAATTGGAGCAAACTGGTTCTCTTGCAAAGTTGTCTATGTGCAGACACAACACTGGTTCACAAGTCATTCAAGCCTTTTTATGCTTGAATGATTAAAAGGTTAGTGCCAAGTAGCTTAAGAAATAAAGAAAATGCTTCTCTGAAGAAAAAAGGACTGGACTGAAAATGAGAGAAAAAGCAGCCAATGTTCAAAGAATAACTTTGAAAGACCTTCAGAAAGCCTGTTTCTCAAAACCACTTTAAATAACAAGAAAGTCTGGCTCATAGGAAGCAAGCAGGTTGAGTGGTCCTCAATGTCAATCAGCTGCAAGAATCTGCAGTCGGACAGACTCCAGCTCCACATTTTGAACTGCAGCTGGCGACGGTAGTCTTCATACCTGCTGTGAGCTGAAGGGCCACTCCAACCGGAACCCACGGCAACAGCTTCTTCTTTCATACTCGCGCGCATATATGTACGAGTATATGCCCCCGTCTCCTTATAAAGCAGTGTAATTCTGTGGGAAACACTGATGGCACCGGTGGTCAAAAAGTTTAAACAATATCCTGGTGAGGGAGAGTAAGTCGTAAATAAAAGCTTTCTACCATAAAAGTGACTGATTTTACTGGCATTAATCTCTGCAGGCAGTCTTAACAAACCCTTGGGATGAGGATATGAAGAGCTTGTCACAGTGAAGTGGGACAGCACTGTAATTCACAACTATTGATGTGCATTTCCAATAGAACTTCACTGCGATTTTTAGATCAGTAATCATCAGAGCCCTTCCCCCACGCCGCATGGCCATTAATAACATACACTGAGTAGCTGGATGTTCTAGCCTTGACCCGCTATTATCCCTCACCTTGCAGACGATACAACTGAAAAAGAGAGCGTCAACGCACAGAGGATGGATAGATGCGGAGCTTGAGTGGCAGGCCAAGAGGCAGAAGATTTATGTGAACATTTGGAAATGCTAATGTGTTGTGCCACATTCCACCAAAGCTGAGAAATCCTCGTACCCACCAAACTTAAAGTGTCTTTACACATCATTGTGGTGCAGAGGCCCAAACCACCGCTGAACCAGCGCGGCTGTGTCTATGCTATGGATTTTCATCCTGGTGTTGCTGCATTGCGGTCTGAATTTATACCGTAGTTATAGGTGTATGTCATGGAGAGTGATGGTAGAGAAGAGACTTAAGGAGTCTACTCACACCATTCTCGTTAAGGAGCTATTCAGGCCTCCTGTTCATCAAACATACGCACACGCCATCTGCTTCTGGCGCTGCTGTGTGTGTGTGCATGTGTATTGACGTATATGTGTGACTTGGAGAGTGAAACACCATTTATGGCCAATTAGGGATGCTTTATATTACCCAAACCTGTCCCCTGACTATGGACAGCAAAGTATTAAAAGTGTTGAAATTGGACAAAAATCATCTTTATCACTATAGCAACTCGATTATCTGTAGCCGCGCTTGACATCCCCCTGACTTGCCGCAGCAGCGACTGGAGAAATATGCCTTGCTCAACCTGCCACATTAAATAGGTTAACTAATGGTTATGGTAAAAGAAAAAAATCTTATCTTATTAAATTTTCTTGTTAAATCTAATTTAAATTCCTTTTGCAGTCCTGCAGAGAAATATAACCTTTCAAATGGACATTCTCCCTATGACAGGGAGATTTTGATATTGCTAATTATCTCCTACTTTCCTTCATTTGCTTTCATGCAGCCCTCACAGGTGAGTTGGCTGAATAAGTTAATAGGGTGGAGAGGCGAAGACCTAAAGTCCCGAGGAAAATTGGTATGCATGGTTTTGATCCACCAGGGAGAAGGTCACTTCAACAATCTGATAGGCCTTTTTAGACGCTAGCAGGTTGAAAGAGAGCGAGCAAGAAAGAGAGAGAGTGACAGGAAGGTGAGAGGAAAGAAGGGACGACACGGAGAGGTAATGTGGTAATGTGTCAGGAAGTCTGGATATGCCACCTCACCCCATCCTGAGTGTGACAGCTCTGAAGGTGTGATAACCTTAAATTCCCCTGCCCGGACCCACACAGCCACGCTCGCCTACGAACGCCACACTAACATCCATCCCAGGGCATCCTCCTGGCCGCGCGTAGCAACGGTGGGGGAGTTAATCACCCATGTCCATGGCCTTTAGCTGCTCTCATTAGCGGTGAGCGGTGGAGCCGTACCCGATCCATTAGCAACGCTGCCGGTAATGACACTTCACCAGCACCGCCGGGCCCGCGGCCAAGAAAGGCTTCGCAGCCCGGCGCAGCCCCTCCATTACCGACTCGTACTGCATTCTGCCGCCACGCTTTTTAGCACTTGCAGGTGGGACTAAGAGGCAAAGGGAAAAATAAAATAGAAAGAAAGGGATTGTACTTCCCTTTTCGCTTGGTCCGGAAAAGCAGCAGGAAGATGAGGCCAGGGGGAGAGGCAGCCTGGTGGCTTTTATCTGGGATCACATCCGTTGGCGCTGTACTGCAGCATTATCGTTCCAAGCCTCTTTGTCTTTGTCTGTCTTTCTCAAACACAGACACACACACACGTATGTATCCCACACACAGCTGTACACAGGAGAACTTGCACATTCACAGTTGGACGGGCAAATAGTGATAAGTCATCTTTTATGCACAGGCATGTGCTAATTAAAAACAAGCACGCACACTAGTAAATCAGGCTCACACTGATGTGTGTGTGTGTGTGTGTGTGTGTGTGTTCAACATTACCACCGCCACACAAAGCATTCACAGCAAGTTACAGAAAAGGCTTTGCACAAAGTGCCGTGTCTTCATTCATATTGCATGTGAAAGCCCCCTCTGGCTGTCATGTAACGAAACCTGTGTCACGCCTGTAAAATGGCCATCTTGGAGCAAGCTAGCACCCTGTTAAAAGCCAGGGCATGCATGACTAAAAGAATATAGGCCACAGGCAGCAGACCACCTGCTTTTTCTTTCCTCTCCCTCTCTCTCCTCATCCCTGTCGTTTTTTTATCTTCTCAGCTGTGGCCCAGTGCATTTGCTTGCCTCTGAAGTCTTGGTGGGACAGCAGGGCATCTCTTCTTTCTCCTCTTTCTCCTTCTCCTTATGTAGTCTTCTGATCTGCTCTGCTCTGCTCAATATATACACATATTCTTTTAGCGCCCCCCAAAGGATGCTGAGGGCACAGCAATCTGCCACCCTAATAGTTATGGGAGTAATTACACTGAATGAGTCTTCCAGGGAATTATGATAGACATAGGGCTTTTTTATGTGAAAAGCATGTATTGATTAATGTTATAATGGAATTTGTGGTTCCGATGTGTGTTGTAAGAATTACCACATGACAGGATTTTGATGCGTGTGTGTCTTTTGTTTCTGTTTCAGTACATGACTGCTGCAGCCGCCGCGGCGCCTATGCAAGGGACCTACATTCCCCAGTACACTCCTGTGCCTCCAACCGCTGTCCCTGTCGAAGTAAGACCCGCATGCATGCGAACGCTACTCGTCAAGTATTAAAAATCTGTCGACGTTTACGCATAGGAGGACATCATTAGTACTAACAGCCTACTCACTTCCACCCACAAGCACTCCCTTCGCCATTTCTAAGCCTGCTCGCCACATCAGTAGACTTAAACAGTCATTAAATTGACAAATTACATTTGAAGCATGGCGCAAATTGCTTTTATTCTCTCTAAACAAATGGCTTCGTACCAGCAGCACATAACAAGGATCAAAAACTGCAAGCAAAGCAAGATGAGTCAGAAGTTTTATAGTATTTGGGAAAGACATTTGAAGTGCAGTGTAGACTTTCTCACTTCCTCGGCGGCTGTCTGAGCTCCTGGCAGGTTCGGGCAGTCCAGGCTGAGAAATGATGAACGTGGAGAGCGGGTGGGTAGGCAGGCAGGCAGGCAGGCAGGCCAGCAAGGAGAGCGGGCCAGCTGTCTGGCGGCTGACAGTGCGGTCGTACTCAGATGGACTATCAGTCGTGTATCAGATGACAGGAGCTGAAGTGAGACACAGTGCCGGCGGTGCTGTCTCTCTCTCTCCACCCCACCTCTTCCCCTACAGCCGGTTTAAGCTGGTAGGTAGCTGGAACATGCACACATCCGTCAGCCACGGAGCTCTGGCTAGCCCACCGGCAACGGACAATGACAGTTTTCACTGACAGAGCCATTAGG